CAGTGTATGTGTTGGGAATTAGGGAGACTCTGTTATAAATGATACATCGTGGATCAGTCTGAACGCAAGTGAATCTCACCATTGACAATATTTCCAGTCCCCCAAACACTTATTTTTTGATAACTTTATCAAAAGGAAATTTCCCAGTTCCATGATACAGAGCAAGCCCCAAAACAATGTTTTTGCCTCCTCTTTATTGTATAAAGAATTCCTGACAGGCTGCAAGGTCTGGAAAATCCAGCAGGACTGGGAAACTGCTATTCCTCTGTGTTGCCACAAAGAGGTGTTCTTGGTTCATTCATTACATGTGTCGACTGACAAGCAAAACAAAAAAAGAGAGGTGTGGAAACCAAGGGGATTCATAGATATGTCCCAGGAGAGAGGAGGTTGGAGGCGCTTTAATTAGTGAGCTGCACTAATTAAAAAGTGCCCATGCATCACATGTAGCAGTGTCACACTGAAAAAATGATGGTGGGCTGCTTTGAACTCAAGCTTGTTCGCTGCCATTTTTCAGCACGGGGACGCTGATACACATGACGATGGAGGCTGCCGGAGCATGTTCATTTCCGTGCTCCGGCAGACCCGATTAATCGACTCTGCTCTGACAGGCTGGATTTACAGCGCATCACAGCAGCTTCCCTGCATGTGTGTAAGTGCCCCAAGTGCTTGATGTGTCCTCCTTTCTGCATTTGAACCAGAACCCAGAATTATTCTGGAGTCAGTAATAATAGATACATTAAAACAAGTGCTTTGTCCTTCTTTATAAGCTCTTGTCCAAAAATATTTGCCTACTTTTTTGGGATTGTGAGGTTTGACTAATGCCTATTTAGGACTTGAAGCTATTTAACTGAAAGGTGCGACAGGCTTGCAAAGCATTATGTCCTTAGCATATTCATTTCTTTACAGGTAACATGGTTTCTAACACATCTTTGGATGATGTAATCTTGCTGTCTACCTTCATAATTTTATAAGGAGGAAGCAAGTTTTACTACCTGAAACCTGAGACCCTGCTCCTGCCTTTGTTCGAGGTCATTTGCATCATCACAGAGCCCAGAGATACCTCACCATACAAGAAATGCCTGCCCAGAAAAGCATTCCTTCCTTTTACTCTTCCGTGCAATATGAAACATCATAACCAGAAAGAAATATGACTACATCCTGCTTGCCATGAAGCAACTTCGAGGTAAACAGACTATTCCAACTTTTCTCTGAGTCTAACCTGCATGAAATGAACTGTGGCAAACAGGAGTTTTTACCATACCTTTAACTAGTCTATAAAACAGGCGGGCAATGGTTTTCGGCGGAGGGCCGCTTACTGAGTTTTGGCAAGCCACCGAGGGCCGCATGACAGGCAGCCAGGGGCAGATAAATATTAATTTTTTAGGGGCCCCACGGGCCGGATAGGATGGCCTGGTGGGCCGCATCCAGCCCCCAGGCCGCATTTTGCCCACCCCTGCTATAAAATCTGAACTTTCATTTCTGCCTGGGAGAACATTTACAGTCTTTTTCTCCTATGCCTGGAGAAGGGTACTTGTGCCGGAAAGCTTGCAATTAAAGATTTTATTTTTTTTTTTGCAAAAATCTAGTTAGTCTAATAAAAGATATCACTTCTACCATGAGTTCTGATTCTAAAAGTAAATTAAATTAATGATAGGAGCAGCCGTACTACACATTTTTCTGGGATGGTCCTTAGTGTAAATGGGTGGTCTACACAAGATCTTCTGAGCCTGAATCCAGCCTCATCCTCCCGTAACTGTGTAATATCTGCGGTAGTATCACATAGCACAACACTTCGCCTATGACAAAGAGTAGTTTGACAGCTCTCCAGCTGTTGCAGTGTGTGAAATCATTCCAGCGGGGTATCTGATATGGTTCTGCTTATCAAAAAAAGGTTTTCTTTCTCCTAAAGCTTCTTGAGCAGCCATGTCAATTTGTTTAAGGTGAGAGCTAAAGGTGAGTGCTTTGACATTTCTTCTGTGATATGGTCACCTCCTGACACTGTTGTTTTCCAGCTTCTTGATTACAGCCTCTATCTTTAACATTTTGACTGTGCTGCCATTAACATTAAACAGCCCAGATTCACTCATTTCATCAAAGTCTACTCCTGAGGCACATGAGCACAGATCCAGGACTTTGAAAAGCAGGGTACAGCTGATGTGGTACCTTATCATATATAACACAACATATTTTTTTCTCCAGTTAAAAGAAACTAGAAGTTTTACTAATAAGCTAGGGGCCCAGGGCTGTATTATACAGTTTCAGATTTAAGCAAAATTAATATAACTTTACTGGAATATGCATTAATTTGATATATCATATGTTATATATAAAAATACAACAAATTAAGCAAAAAGAATCAAAATATGCCATTTCATTGGTCCTATAGTCATTAGAATTAAATATACATCTTTGGTTGAATTCATAAAACGAAATCTAACCTTCTTGAGCATCTTGAAAGTGCATCCAATGCTTCACTGAAACTTATTTCCACACCTGAGTTAATGTTTTAGCTAGAGCTAAAAAAAAGTCTTCAGGGCAGTGCAGATTTTTTTGCAAAAATTTAGTTAGTCTAATAAAAGATATCACCTCTATCACTAGTTCTGATTCTAAAAGTAAATTAAATTAATGATAGGCGCAGCCATTCTGCACATTTTTCTGGGATGGTCCTTAATGTAAATGGGTGGTCTACACGCGATCTTCTGAGCTGGAATCCAGCCTCATCCTCCTGTAACTGTGTAGTATCTGCGGTAGTATCACATGAGAGCTACATCACTAGAAGCAGCTGCAGACATCAGTATTGCAGAAGAAAGGATCATTGGACTATCAACACCATTAAAAAGGAGAAAGGGTCATTAACACCTATGGAATGAAGAGTTTAGAAGGAATCTGGTAAATTATAAGGAGCCACAAAGTAAATTGACTCCCTCACGGCAGCCTGGATAGGAATGCTCCTGCCACTGCCAGGCAGTTAGCTAAATTCTGGGTGGACCACAAATCAAAGGGGGCTGCAGTTGCACCTGGATCCATCCCTACTGCGGTGGGGTGGATCTGCTGAAATGGTGGGTCTCTTTTCTGCCCATCTGTTTCCCTTCTCTACATCAGTCAGGAGAGTTTTCACGTATTGGATTTTGATGGATTTGCACAATTCAGTGAGCCTTTCACCATCCTAGTTAACAAAACCCAGCCCTGCTTCCCCATTGCTCTTTCCATTCCTTAGTAGTTTGCAACCTATTTTGCCATTAGTCTTCCAACCCAAGAAGGAAGTTGTGTTGTGGTAGTTTGCCAACCATGCTTCGGAGACTCCTGCAGAATTTATCTTTGTCCTCATTGCTACATTCCTCTGCCAGATGCAGGACTCTTAGGGTTAACATCTTCAGGATTTGGATCTGGGATCCAGCACATAGGATGTTTGGATTGAAAAGTTTGCAGATTATGAGCGACTATTCCATGATGGTGTGTGTTACTTCCTCTGACTGCTTGCAGCTGTTGCAGTCCAAGTAAGCAAGATGTTTCTTGTTTAGCTCAAAGCACTTCTTAATATTTTTTGGATTATCCAGATATTTTCTTAAAATTTGGAACAAAATATATTTGAGGGTTTCAGTGCTCATTGTGCCCTCTTTCAACTCTTTTTCCCCATTTTGCTACTAACAAAGAAAAAAAACCCCTGAAAGCCATTTTTTCCTTTTTCAGTTTTATTGAAATACAGCAGGTTTTTATGAGCTTCTTTTCAAAGAATAGTAAAAACCAAAACTTTAGTTGAGAATTTCAGGCAGCTCTAATTTTACGTGTCAACCCAAACTTTGTGTTGGGTCTAAATGTAACCTTTGAACAGCCTCCTAAGGAAAACTGGAGGCAAGCCTGCTATTCTCTTTCTCCAATTCCTAAATTCTTTAGTACCATGAATCGAACATGTGAGACTGGGATGTTTGTGCTTCCAGAGTTTATCTGCTTAGCTGCCCTCTGATATCATCCTCCTCGTATCACTGCTAGTTGGTTGCGAAGAAAAGTCATCAACAACACAGGAGAGTAACTCAGGAATAAACAGAAAAAGTAAAATGAAGTCACAAAAATAAATATGAAGCAGAAAAAGGAAAGGAAAGGCAGAATCTAGTGTGCCTGGAATAAAACACACTTCAGGATGTTCTGCTTTAAAATGCTTGCAGCCCAATATACTAGTAGGACTGACACTTTCTCGCTCAACAGAACTGTTCTTTAATGTATGCATTGACTTTACTGCTCAAAACAATTCCTCTTCCTGTTAACACTGCATTTCCAGAGCAGCTCTGGGTAGATAAATTGCATTCTCTTCTTCCTTGGTCATCAGTACTATTATCTTCTAACTCCTTCTTCCTCTTACCACACTGGCAAACCCGAAATACATTGCATCAAATTTGAGTTTTTTTCCTTATCTTCACAGCATTCTGCAGTCCGATCCCAGGATACCTGGAAAATGAGCTAAGACTTTGGGTCAAGTACCACGATCAGGTAACACAGTCTGTTTCACAGGCTCAATGGTACAAGCCTAAATCTTGTTCATGCAAGAGATGGCACTTTCTTAGGGACAGTCCCAGCTACGGAAGAAATGGCAACAAGATCTAAGAACTGACACCCATCTCACCATTGTCTGCTTCAAGGGGATGTGCACTTCTTAATAAAGTACTTCCTTAATAAAGTACAAACTAAATGTGCAGTACTTAGAGTTACTTACTGCTTGGTAGTGCCAGCACGTGGTTTAGTGATGCTTACTGTGCATTAGCCTAATAACACTGTGCAGTAGGCTATTAGCATGGTTTGTGCCGTGACACTGTACTGCACAGCGTTAGTAGGTGGATGTGCAGCACTTGACCAAACAGCAAGGGGCCGCAACAGCCCACTTCGACCAGGTCATATCCTGCTTCAGGCATGCACTGTGGAAAGGCAGGAATCTGCTCAGACCCCCCAGTCAAGGACTGTATTAAAATAGGACTAAGTGAAATGTACTGGTACTACAGGAAGACAGAAGAGGATGATGGGAAAGAAATGGCAGACCTCATAGGGTGAAGAGGTGTCTGGCATAGACTTTTTCACAAGTAGACCCTCTGAGGAGAGCAGTGGGTGGAGGTACAGGTATGGAGATGGGTGCACGGGTGTGCAGTTATGTGGTGTGAACTGCGTAATGGGTTTTTAATGTGCTTTGAGCTGCCAAGTGAACCACGGAGGCCACTTGGCAGAGTGTTAGAGGTGGAGTTTTATATAAAATATATATATTTTTATTTATATATATATATATATTATATTCAGAAATAAATATTTTTTGCAAAAAAAAGGAAAGTAAGCATCTCATGCAGATGTGCCCAGTGTGTCATAAATGCGCATATGCATGCACAATTTTCTTTTTGGGAAGAGGAAGAGAGGAGCTAGAGGTTGATCACATTGCTTAATGCATTGTTGGTAGGTGAGGCTGTGATAATGGGCACAGAAAATATATTAGAATACAAGTGGAAAGAAGTCGGTCTGACTTTCACATGCCAAGGTGAACTTGCTAAGCTGGCAGCTAGAAAGTCCATTGTTTGACATGTAAGCAGAGCAAATTTGGCTGAAAAGTAATTGCGGGGTGGGGGCGGGGGGAGACTGGGACTTCTCCAATGCTGCATTTAATCATTCTTGCTTTAAATTAGGCTACAAGACTTTCCAATACAACACGGCGCGGATTCTGACTCTACTTATTTATTAGTATAGTCCAATTGTTTACTATATTAAAAATAGCAGTAGCAGATCGGGGCCAGGGTCAGTTTGGGGGGTTTAAAATGTCCTTCAACTTTGCTCATCCCCATTTTGTAGCTACCGTTTCCAGATATCCTGTAGTTGTTCTAGTAAGCTCGTTTCTTGTTGGCTATATTTGTCTAAACAGGAAATTTTAGCTGCACAAAGCAAAACACCCAACAAAAGCAAACTTTGATTTATAATTATAAATACTTATTCTAGAGGAGTGTGCTTACCCAATCGTGTTGTAGAATATGCCACATAATCAAGAGACTGACTCTCAGATATGTGCCTTGTATACTTAGCAAATGAGCTACTCAACCCAAGTTACTTGCAAAAACAAGTCTGTACAGAATTTGAGTAACAGAGGTAGGAAAATCCCAGTTCGTTAATGAATGATTTGCAATGAAAGACAGCGATTCCTCAGCAAAATTAGGTTTTTTTGTATTTGTTACCCACGTCCCAATTTTCATTCCTCTTACTTGTGTCTTGTCATCAGTTTAGGTTTTATGCTTTTTGCCTCAAACTTCACATCTCTTACTGCATGCTTGTGCAGGGCCTGTTTAAAGGGGTGTTGACCCTGATTGAGGCTGGGCATTATTGTAGTGTACTTGATATGATTTTTCTGCAGTATTCACCCATCTCTTGCTAGGACACAAGTACGGATGTCAAGAGGCCGCTGGTGTGTTGCAGGGTCCTTGCAGGGAGAGACTGCACAAAGGTGAGTGCCAGTGGGAGAAAAAACATGCCTGAAGCTTGTTCACATAAAAAGCTGGATGACCCCACAATGCTGCCCTTCACCCAACATCACACTCGCTGCCTAAAGAAGACATGCATGTCCACTGTTGCCATACAGATGAGGTGACACTTCCACCGTTGGTTTCAACGATATGTGCTCGACAGAGTACAAACAACTAAGGAACGTAAAAGATGGCTTTTGTAAGTTATCCCCAGTTTAAACAACAGTGTAAGATGCACAAAAGGAAGATTTTGTATTTTAATAAACTCTTCCCGTCTTGAAGAATGTGTGTATGGGGAGTTGCTGGGATGGTTGTTTCAACTGTGAATTCATTTATGGAACGAGGAAGATATATTTAAATCTTCTTACTGCATCCAGATAATATAATCTGCTTCCTTACAACAAATTCCCTGGGGCAGATATGTTTGCTAGCAGCGATGCAGTATCTGCGCAGTGATCTATAAAAGTGAGTTAAGGCTATGTCTGCCAGAGCCATTATGCACAAGGGCCTGTCAGTGCTTCTGTTACAAATGGGGATAATAATACTTACCTATCTCCCAAGGGTGTTGTGAGGGTTAATTATTTAACATTTGTAAAACACTTTAAGAGCCTGGAATGAAAGAGTCTCTATAAGTGGAAAGTATTATTAGGAATAAACTCTATTTTAGAGGAGACCTGGCCAGAAAATTGCATTCATGGGTGACATATGGGTTATGGCATGTCAGTCCATAGGGAATATATTTTTACAAACTGAAAACAATGGAAATCAAAGCACTGCAAAAGAGGAAAGCCATTCTGCAGTTTCCCTTTCCCTAGCATGTGCGCTTCAACAGAACGGGCCCAGCTGAGCCAGCGGCTACGCACCCGGGATGCGCTTGCACACGTGCGCAGAATACAGGAGCATTTTCAGCTGCTTAAAACTAGCACCTAAATAGAGAGAAATTTAAAAACTACCACCTAAATAATGAGAAACAGGACGGCTCAGCCTGCTTGGAGGACTATTTTTCAGAGCTTCGCTTACTGTGCACCGAAGAGATGGTGCTGAACGTGCAGCAGGGAAGAGCCCAGTTCTCTTGCTGCTCTCTGCTCCAGGCCGCCGGCTGATTCACCCTTGGGTGTCTGCCCCAAGCGCAGGGCGGCGGATCCCCTGCCCAAGCCATCGCTCCCTAATAAGTCCCCAGAGCTCAGCCAAAAGAGGTCGGCACAAACTCTCAGTGCGCCGAAGCCAACGGCAAAACGCCTGCAGACCTTGTTTCACTCGCCTGGATTAAAAACTTGCATTTTTCATTGCCTTTTTTTTAACCCCCCCCCCAAAAACAGCATCGCACGATCCAAAACTTCCCGGCAAAGTGACCGCGTTTGGGAATAAGGGCAGATCTGAGCCCCGGGGGGCTCCTCTTTGGGCCCTTGGGGGGCTCCGGATGCAGGGGGCAAGCCGCACCCCTGGGGGCGCTGTCCGGCCCCCCTCCAGGCGCGGCGCGGCGCGGGGC